CCGAATGAATGAGTGAATTTCGCGCCGAAATCCGACATCTGTTATCTTATATATGATTGGTTCGTCCATAAATTATAATCTCAACAGAATCATTTTAATTCATACGAAATAATCCTATACATGTATCATTTTTGTTCTTCATGAGTTCGGTCATTCTACATAAAGAAATTCGTCTATGAGACGTAAACGAATCTTATAAACATTGGCAATTTGTTTGCTATACCTTGAGTGAATGTTGACATAACACTGAAAACTTTTCTAGTATATTGGAATTTCTTGTTTAGTCAGAATGTTCTTCGAGATTTGTCCGTACATTTAGTGAATACTTTAATGATCTACATACAAGGTGAATATTATTTTCTTCTTTATTATTGAAACATACATTACATTGAGAAATAGAAGCAGATATGAAAAGGATTGCCCAGGACAGGGTTGAATGGAGAATACTGATGAGCGACCTATGCTCCTCCACGAAGAGTAACAGGCTTAAGTAAGTAAGCTATCCAATTTTGATAATTTAATTGTGAACTATCAATATGTTGTTTGAAAATACACAAATGGGAATATTAAATTCTTCAAAATATAGAAGTTACTATTACTCCTAAACAATGAGAACACACCGAATGTATCCGTACAAAGATGGTTGTAAAGTTCCAACGTGAACAGTATAAAATTTTAAGAATTTATAAGTAGTGTTGAACTTTATTTGAAGACTTTTCTGTACATATCAGATTTATTTCACTTGACCTACTTTCCATATCACTGAAGGCTGAAAAGAGACTTTTTTTCTTTTTTACAAGACACCATTACACACGATTATATTTCAATGAAAACATTACATGAATAATTGGGCCGGCATATAGCGGTGTAAATGTCTAGAGGTTAAGCGTTTGCGTGTGAGATCGAAGTTCCTGAGTTAGAATCCCTCGTGCGGGATCGTAGACACGCACTGTTGAGGAGTCCTATACTGGGACGAAACTGCCGTCTAATACTGGACCCGTCAGTTCTCCGTCTCCAAACACTCTCTTATGGTCAAGCGTATACAGTCACTGTCAAGAAAGTCCTAGTCACTGCCTTCTCACAGCATTTCTGTTGTTTACGAAGTTGAGGGGATGAAAAGCGAATGTTCGACGCCTTAACCGGGTTGGTGGACCCTTCTTGTCCATCTAGGAGAGCTGGAAAACCCTCATTCCAAATCAATGGTGCACATGGGTTCCAGGAGCCTGGAAAAAAAAGTATGAACCAAACGTTGGTCACTGGCTACAATGACACTGCATCTCTTGACGTTCTTCCACTGCCATTTGGATTAGACCTTTAGGTCGAAGGCTGATGTTATGGCCTTCTATGCAAATCACCTGCTTCGGTTTGGGCACCCGAGCAGTAACACAGCTCATGTCGAATCAGAAGTATTAAAATGAATAAAGGGATCTAAGAGTGTAATTGCTCTCAATGTATCAGACTTTCATCCTTTAAAAAGAAACAAGATAAATTTGTCAGATCTATAAAACTTAGCCCACATATCATATACTTGTACATGACTAAGTAAAGGTTATTATGATATGCACTCAAGGATTTTATTTTAGTTATATATATTTGTCAATCCACATGAATTATTAAACCCTTCATACATAATCAGACAAAGTGCAGTTTTCAAGGAAATTGATGTTGTGGGGATGATATATCAACATATAACAAGAAACATTGTTGAGAGTTTACCAGTATTAGGGGTATTCTGGTTATCCCAATTGTGAAGACTATCTTGATATGACTAATTCTGAAATAACGTCTGATTAAATAAGTACACCATTTATCGACAAGTTGTACGGAACCTAAGATGGTGCAGAAGATTTGTAGCTCAGGTGGGTGATTTTGATGGAGTTATGTTCTCTGAGCTGTATGATTTGGTCGTGGAGTAAAAAAAAGAAGTAAACAATCATTCGTTTAAGGTGAACAAGAACCAACCAACATCGAGGTAAACAGGACAATTTGTAAACCACATGTGGAGAAATTTAGACATTTCACTTTTATCTGAAGTTTGTGCTGATGATGTCGTTCAGAAGAATGATGAAAGCTCCACGATTAGACCATCCAGCTCAGAGAACGAAACCCCATCAAAATGTAGGAAACCCGGAAAGAAATGATCTTACTGTAATAAATATTCCATATCCTTAGAATGTTAGTTTACATCTCCCGTATGTGAATTGTCGCGTTATTTTCTGTCCAGATAATAACGCTACAGGTCTGGCTAGTGACAAGCCCCCAATTCTGTAATGGAAGTTATTTACTTTACAAGACAACTGAATTGAAAATACTCAAACCTAAAAGTCGCCTGAAACATTTCCAATAGCAGTTAACTCTTCACCGGTTGCGAAACATTAAGAAAAGCTTAGGCGTATACACGTTTGAAACATATTTCATGTACACCAGATACATAAATAATTTGAATGACAGATGACTAATCAATGAAACTTATGAATCCAGACGGAGTTCTTAGAATGGCTTCAAAGATATCCACAATACAGGTAATCGATAGCGGAATTCACAACAATCAGAAGCATCTTCTGAAATAGCTCAAATTTTGTGATCGACAACAGAAGGAATATTACGATTGATCATTGACATTACAAACTAGTTTACCTGTATTTTAATATTGTAAACCAGACTTCAATTAACTCTATGAATCTAATCTGTTTCTTCGAATAAATTCTCAAATTCTCATTCTGTTACTTAGTTTCTGATATCTTTCTTGATAAAACAAATTACTATGATCCATTTATGCTTCTTATGAAGTACATATTATGAAAAACTGATGCTAGTCATACATATTTGTCCTCTATTTAAGTGAAAGTAATGATATTTACTTTTAATCCGATAGATAGTAAGGAATTGTGAAGATTACAATTATGTATGTCTGTTCAAGCTGTCAATCAAATAAATTGAAGAGGGAGTCTCTGAATATGCTGGAAGATCTCATACGAGTTAGGATAACTAATAAAAATCTGTAAGTACTATTGGGATATATACATATATCAGAAAGGGATTTTTAATGGAGATTTTAGTAATTTTATAGTTGAATTCATGAGTCAGTTGAAGCTAGACCACTATGGAAAACCTGCATACACTAGTGTTGAGATATTCAGGAAAATATCCCAAAAACCATCCTGTTAAGCCTAATGCTATCATCTTATTGGTCAATATTTATTTAACGTGTTATTTTCCTGTTGGCCAATATTGTACAATGTTATTTTCTATTTTGTGGTACGTTGTGGTCTGCTTGACTGGTATATAAACAAAGTATGTTTGAAATATAATGATTCACAACTCAGAGGCTGTGACTTGCGTTCTGGACTTAACTGGTTGGGCTAGACAGGGAAGCGGGGCCAATCAGAACCCTAGGTCGTTCTACGTGTTTGCACGTCTTTGGTCCGATCAATAATTCGCTACCCCTTAATCAGCAGCATTTTTCACGTTATAACAACTAGACGACTGTTTCGTTGTAGTGTGGGATTCTTCAACAGTTTGTATCTACGATCAATCAGACTTGAATCTCATTTTGAAGATATATATGAAGATATTCAATTGTCAAAGATTCAAAAATGCTAACACACGTTCAGAACATAATGATCAAATTGTAGAATTGTCAATTCAAGGTCACATACTCACATTATACAATTTTTACATTGAGTCTCTACGATATTTAAGACTTGGTAAATTAGTGATTTTCCGAAACAAGCTTGAAAATAATCATAATTCGATTACTTCTGATGGGGTTTTGTTCTTTAAGCTAGATGGTTTAGTCGTGGACCTTTCATCAGTCTTCTGAATGATTTCATTTGTATAAACTTCAGGTAGAAGTGAACTATTTGAATTTTTCTACATATAGTTCAAAGCTTGTCCTGTAGACCTCAATGTCGTTTAGAAGAATGATAAAAGCTCTACGACTAAATCCTCTAGCTCAAAGAACAAAACTTCATCAAAATCATTCACCTCAGCTACAAACCTTCTCCATCATTCCATTACTTCATAACTCATCATGATTTTTTAGTATTGTTTGAAATAACTCACATTTATATATATATATATATATATATATATATATATATATATATATATATATATATATATATATATATATATATATATATTCAGAATTGATTGATCACTAAGTGGTGATTAATTTAATGTGTGTCAAGTCCTTCTTAGTGCAGATCGAATGCTATATATAGCAGTGGAATCCAGGATGCACATTTTGTCCTACTTGAGACTCGTCAGTTGGATGTACCTGCATCTCATAAGTGATGCTCACTGTGATAATCGAACTCAGTATCCTTCGCTTCAAACTCCGTTGCGTTATCCACTTAGCTTCTTGGCTATATATATAACAAAGATCCCATTATATTGGGGACGATAGATCCCCAAAACTCATATTTTGTAATTTCATCTTTGTGGAGGTTGTATGCAGATGTATGCTTGGGTATTTCTTACCATCCACACACATAGTCGATTGACGAATTTATCGACTAAATGTTTAAACAAAACTTCCATGGCAATATCGATTATATATATTGTATATATAAGTTTTGAAATGCGTTTGTTGTGATCGCTCGTTTCTGGCTGTTTGCAGAATATACTTTCCCATTCCAAGCTTGGACTTCTCCCTCTAGTTAGTGGGGCTGGGAAGCATCAAATAGCTAATTTACTGGTCTTTGGTCACTGAGTCTTTATTGTCGTTCGTAGATTAAGTGAACTCATGATAGCTTCAACCCTAGCACACATGAACAGTTTAAAAACATTCTATTAAAACATGAATATACTTTTTTCTTAAAAATCAAAAACAAAGAAGAAGAAGAAAAAAAGAGAAATTCAGTTACATAATAACTTTTTTTATTTTTTGTTGTTGTTGTTGTTCTTTATTTCATTTAATCGATTCTGTTTTCTTTGCGTTTTGATTTGTGATTACAAATAACAAATCGATTTATTGATTTTTGTTTTTGTTTTATTTAAGTGGAGAATATTTTGGCGAGATTTTTGAAATTCAAGAAACAATGTTTGAATAACATCCTAAAGGATAGAAAATCAACAACAGCAACAATAATTATTGATTAAAATAGTAAGAGAATACATATAATAATGGTAGGTATCATTTATGATGAAGATTCGATTTGATCATATCAAATAAGTTATTAGTTGAGATCATGAATCGATTGATGTAAGACTATCATGGAATAACCTAGAAGCACTGGACGGCTGTTTCGTCCTATTGTAGAATTCTTCAGTAGTGCCATCTATGGTCTCGCCTCACGAGATTCCAAACCGGCACCTATCGATCTCATGCACGAACGCTTAATAAAATTATTTAATTTAAGATGATTAAGATGGAATCCTGTAGCGAAATGAAAAAGAAGAACATCAAAGAACGCATAGAGTCGAGAATTGGAAGCAGACATCAAAAGGATCCATTACAACTGAAAACAACTAGAAAGGAGTGACCAGGGAAGAGGTAAATGGAAAATGCTGGTGAGCGGTCTATGCTCCTCCATAAGAGGTAACTGGCGTAAGTAATTTATAAGAAAGGTTTATCGCACAAAAGTAGCAGCGTTATGTTAGCTACATTGGTTGCACAGATTATAATTGAGGTGATTTTTTGGTCAGAGCGTTATTTCGAAACATTATGATAACCACTTGGTAAGGCTTCCCTGATTCTTCAGTGGGAAGATCCAAGTAAACTTCACTCCAATGCACAAGTAAGTGGCTATCAGGACTCAATAGCTAAATGGATAACGTGATGGCGTTTGCAACGAACGGTATTGGGTTTGAGTCACAGAGTGACATATCAATTCTGAGATGCAGGTACATTCATCTGACGAGTCCCAAATATGACGAAACGTGCATACTGGATTCCACTTCTAGCCACTATCCATCTTTGCTTATAATACTACGATAAACAGTTTCATGTATAATTCAAAGTTGTTTCTCGAAAGTTTTTAACGTATTCCTCTGACACTTTTTTATACGCGAAATATTGCCTAACACTAACAATTCAAATTACATACTACGAATTATATTAAATCAATCATAGTGTAGGAACCTCAGTGAATAGTTCGAAATTTGTTTATCTGTGAAAAACATGTATTTCTAAAACATGTCATTTGTATATAATAACTGAACTATATAAAAAAACAAAGGTTACAGATGAACATGTGAACAAGATAGGCGAGGCCGTAATTTATGGACGATCTTTGAACGAATCTTAAGTGACGTTGAGTAATATTAGTCAATCAGAAAAAAGTTAGTACAGAGTAAAATATCACAATTGATTGATCACTGGGTGGTGATCAATCTCATGCTTGTCTAGTCCTTAATAGTGCAGATCGAATGCTATCGATCATGTTGCAATGTGGCCACCAGTCTAGGTGACTCGACACTGCGGGCACTATATATTGAGATTTAGATGGTGGTTGGAGGTAGTCAACAGGAAACCCTGGACCCGAGTTTCGTGCTACTTGGCACTCGTCAGCAAGGTGTACCTGTAATCTTGAGGGAACTGGTGCTCCCTGGCGCATTCGATCTCGTGTCACCCAGCTTCACAGTCAGAGACGTTACCACTGAGCTATCCGAGCCGTGACTAACCCCCTGTAGGACTGAGATGTAATCACAATTGATTGATCACTGGGTGTTGATCAATGTCATGCGTGTCTAGAGTAAAATATACTATACAAAACTAAAGAATTAAAGTGGAGTCACTTCTTTTACGTGGCTTAAAAACTTAACAATGTTAGAAAGAGGTTCAGAGGTTCTAAAATCGTAATGCATGTGATATAGGAACTCATCCACATGGCTCCATAATTATCGGCCTCCCGAGCCATGATAGGATCGTAAAAACCTCTTTAGCCTGGACCACATAGCTTCAATATTGTTAGTGTGCACTCCGGTTTTTGAGTTCATAAAATGCTGCTTGTGGATAACGATACGATGCACATAACCAAGTCTATGTAAGCATCTGTACGCTCTCCAATCTTTCATATATATCGTAGTACCCGGTAGCAGTCAGAGTTACTGGTACTTTTATTATCCAGTTTGCAACAATTGTCATAATTTACTTCAGTCTCAATCTGGATCGAGCGAAAAAACCCTATTCCAGAAGACTTCCTCCTCCAACACATATTACATCGAAAGACAACAACATCACAATCACAAACAAAGGAATTTCTTAGTAGTCTTTTTGGTTGTAGCCTCTCAATTATCACGATCGTACATGAGAATTAGGTACTTAAATTGGCGCCGTGACCTTGAAGTCCCACAAACTCTTCTGATTGGTTCGTCCATAAATTATAATCTCGCCTATATATTCTTACTTCTTATTGATCAATAAAGAAATCAACTTGACTTTCAACATTATTCATGTGTCATTTTCTTGACGTAGAAGCATTTCATTAGGCTTCTATATAATTTTCAATGAATAGCTTGTTTATTCCCACTATTTTCTAAATGCCTCAATCAACATTATTGATTTTGGAGTTTAATTATCTGAAGTTTAACACCTTAGATTTGTATACATTATCCCTTATAAGAAACTCTTCTTGAAAGAATTAATATATGATCACATTAGTTTTTTATCTTTGTTTCCAATACTAATGATTTGAGCATGTTACGTAACCGCTTTTTTTAGCTCCATATCCTGATATCGATGAACATACATGAATGAATAGTGTTAACTACAATTGTATACTGTGTGATTGTCAATCTCTCTCTATATCTATCTGTACCAATCAAATAGAATAATAATGAAAGTTCAAGGAAAAGAAAAATTGGAATATGATAGATGAATTAAAATTGTCAACTTACCATAATCTATCAACGAAATCACTATAAATAAGGTTTGAAAGATAATGAATTGTAATGAATCTGTTTATTTGTAGTACATTTATGTGCAATATTATCCGAATCAAATATTTAATTGATTATGATTGCTGCGAGACTATAATTTATGGACTAACCAATCAGATTTAGAATAGCAGGGCTTGGATTTTGGCGCGAAATTCACTCATCCATTTGAGTAAATAAAGTTTTGACATTATAGCTGATGTTAGTTCATGATGAAAACCCAAAATCTAATTCCTTACCTTATTTAAACACATAAGTATGGGTACAAAAGGAGCACCGAATACATATGGGCCACACATGTCACCTGATTTATGTGTATGGGCTGTAATACTGCACAGCTGCTCAGACCAAAGTAGGTGGTATTCTGAAGGGACAACAGTTGGAGTCTTCGATCTAAAGGTCTGATTCATAAGGAAGTAGAGCAACGTTACGAGATGCAGTCTCATGGTAGCCGGTGACCGTCGATTGGTTGATACTCCATTTGTCTCCTCAGGATCGTGGAGCCCATGTACACCATTGGTTTGGAATCAGGTTTTCCAACCCTCCTAGGTGAATCATCCATAGCCACCAACCCGGTTAATTCGTCGTACATTCGCTTTTCATCCTTTCAACAGTAATGCCGTGAGAAGGCAATGAGTAGGACTCCTCTAGTAGTAGTTGTATACGCGTAGTCATGTGAGAGCATTTCGAGAGGGAGAGCTAGCTCTGCCTACCCTCAGCCTTGTAGAAAAGCAAATCTTGTGATAACAAATTCTCAAGTGATACTAATTTTCAATTCTATTCATTTCCTATGGTGGAGAAGATTTGTAGCTCAGGTGGATGATTTTGGTAGAGTTTTGTTCTATGAGCTGGATGGTTTGGTCGTGCCGTTATCATTAGGTGTACCATTTTTCTTCCACTTTGCTCCGCTATTCTTTATCCTAATGGGCAGTTGATTGGAGGTCTATATCTTACACTTGTTGGTAGAACATGCTGGCGAAGACACTCATGGAGAAAATATAGTTGTTCTCGAGTGGAAGCCTGCCTTTTGGCGAAATTCTCCCATTTTCGAACAACGAGAAGTGTATTACGCTCATATGATTTTGAGATGGTGAAGAAAATTTGTAGCTCAGGTGGATGATTTTGGTGGAGTTTTGTTCTCTGACCAAACCATCCAGCTCAGAGAACAAAACTTCACCAAAATTCATTTCCTATGCATAACCTTCCATTTTAGGTCACCTGAGATAATCTGACTTATTCATATTTCCAATGATAAAACTCTAGGTTTAGTCACTAGAACTACCTGATTCATTAACGCATTACAAAGGTTAAATTCATTAAGAAATATTCGATCTTTATGATTGTTCAACTATTATACTTATGATAAATGACAAATAACATATACCTTATTTTGTACTGATATGCATCCTGAACCCAAATTAACCAAAAATATGATCATTCACTGAAATGGATATTCACTAACAGTTGAATAACTAAACTCATGACAACTACCTAAGTGTTTATTACAATAAATGATACTAGTTGTTTAACCACCTATAGTTCACCTTGTTCCTTCATTGTTTAATCTTAGTTACCATAGAACAAAGTTAATGTCTAAACAATTACTAAGCCTGTCTATGTTATATTCCTCAGAGAAAACTATGTTTTCATTATAACATCATAGAAGAGAAGAAATACAAAGAATATAGTCATAAATGTCGACTAACCTGTCTTTAGATGGATTGTATTCTATAGAATAAACATTAAACATTGTAATTTTTAGAGAATTAAGGAACTAAATGAATGAGGTTAAAAATGTTTCATAATGGAATATTAATATTAGAATCTATTTTAGTTACTATGTGAAATTATTATTCTTTATTTAAAAACATTTAATTGATTTATATTCCATTGGTGTTGTTTTAGGACTGTAATTGATCAGTCTCTCTCTCCCTCTTATTGGAATATATACATCTTGTACCGATTGCTTCGATATTGATGGATAGTGGCTCGAACCAGAATCCAGAATGCGCGTTTCGTCCTATTCGGGACTCGGCACCTGCATGTACGTGCATCTCACAGTTGATGTCCACTCTGAGACACTAAACCAATATTATTCGCTTCAAGCGTCATTGTGTAATCCACTTAGCTACTGAGTCTTGATAGCCACTTGCTTGTGTAATTGGGTGAAGTTTAAATTCACTTGAAATTATTTACTTCAATCTTTCGATTGATATTTGGGACTGAAATCGATCGGTCTCTTGTTGGCATATATGCATCATGTGCGGCATACCCCGATATTGTTTTAATTCAAAAGCATTCTAAGCAATGATAGACAATGGCTAGTAGTGGGATTCAGTAATGTGGTTATCAGAAGTCAGTAGCTAAGTGGATCACGCGATGGCGTTTTAAGCAAACGTTACTAGGTTTGGGTAGCAGAGTCAACATGAACTCTGAGATTCAGTTACATCCAGCTGACGAGTCCCAAATATGACGAAACACGCGTCTTGAATTCCACTGCTATCTATCTCTGCTTATTTTCTTCACAAATAACTTCACATAAGGATTCATTAAAATGGAATGAAATATGTTGTTCCAGAATATAAATTATCCAGCTAAAAATCAATTGAAAAGTCATACCTTCTTCTCCAAAAATACTGTTGACTATAAAGCAGAATAACAAATAGAAAAATTAGTGACTATTTGTTCGTAAATGACTGTTAGAATAAACAAGGCTCTTCTTATGTATGACAACAATATTTAACATATTGATACAATTAGTCAAGTGTGGACTGTTGGGCGATCTATGCTCCTCTACGAGGAGTAGTAGGCGTAAGTAAGTGAGTAAGGAATACAATTAGTCAAGATCATTGTTTTCTTGAAATCCATAGATGTACACGTATCCATTTAAGAATACAAAAAAGCTGTGTTTTATTACAGTTAAATGTAAAATTGTTAGAGTTTCTATTGTTTTGTTTAAAACAATATCATAGATGACTGTAAGTAGGTGATGCATTCATTCTGATGATTATCATTATCGTTTTGATATTTGACTAGGTGATGTTTCTATGACTACATGAGCGAATTACTTAATCGATATTATATCATAAAAAATATTGTGAATTTCCGAATTCAATGCCTTGGTACGGTCAAAAGTGAGGAGAGTTAGCTCCCCCTCTCCAAATACTCCCACATGACCACGCGTATACAGCCAATGACAGAAAAGTCTTACTCATTGCCTTCTCACGGCATTACTGTTGTGTAGACGAAAAGAGAATGTACGGTGACTTAACTGAGTTGGCGGGTATGGTGGATCTACCTAAGGGAGTTGGATGTCCTTGATTCCAAACCAATGATGCACATGGATTCCAGGATCCTGAGGGAATAAATGGCGTACGAACCAATCGATGGTCACCGGCTACCACGAGACTGTAGCCCATACACACAACTCAAGTGACTTGTGAAGCGCATATGTATTCGGTGAGTCTTATATACCAATATTTATGTGTTCAAATAATGAATGAATAAATAGTAACACTCATTCACTTTCATCCAAAATATGTGATCTTTTTGAATACATGTGCTTCTTGAGTATAATGAATATCACTATATCTGGATAATCACTATAAATGATAAGTATTCTACAACTTTCTGCTTTTCTTAAACTGTAGAGATGAAATTACAGTCTTTTTAATAACTTCTTCTATGGTTATGTTCCAGGGTACAACGTTAGCTTTCAAATAACATCCAAGCAAACTGCTTACATTTATTGACAATCCCTAGAATATGAAAACAAACAGAATACATGAGATCATTTCAAATATACATTTCGGGAAATTATTCTCTAAATCATTACTGATTCTTAACCCGTTCCACATATATAGTCTTTTTAAGATAACTAACAGAACTAGTTAACTATTTTAGGGGGAATTTTTGGATATAGATTCGTTCCATTTATCGATTTCTTTAAGGTTGACCTTACTAGATCTAATATATGAGTTAGAAGAAATCAATAATAAATAGTGATATCAACTAATTATATTGGCTATCAAGGCTCAGTAACTAAGTGGAATCTCAGAGGGTACATCAACTCTGAGATGTAGGTACATCCAGCTGATGAGTCTCAAATAAGACGAAATTCTTGTCCTGGATTCCACTGCTAAACCCTATCCATTGAATGATGTTATCGCTTTGCTAGAAATTGAGCAAAATCAAAAATCTGCATACATCTTAGAAACGCTCAATTCCTTATTGTTTATAATCAATGCCTGTTGATGATCAAAATTTTATAGTTTTTAATGAATGAAAAATGTCATCAGCAAAAAGGAAAGAAGAAGAAATCTACATTCAGAGCAATTGGTTAGTAAGTTCTGATCATAAAGGATAAATCAATTCAGTTAGATAAACCGAACAAGGTGTAGATTCAAAGTAGATTAGAATAAATAAATGGGCGAATGGGCATAGCATAAGTAGATGGCTACTAGATTTATTGAGCAAATCATAGTTACTACTAATATCAAGATTATAAGTCCTAGTTATATGCAATTGATTTTCCTGGTAAACCTATGATTTCAATGTTGTCATAACTATTTTCAGATTATAATTTGATGTTAGAAAAAACAAGATAACTTGGACATTATAGCATGATAGACTAATAGTAACTTATAGCACTTATAAATATTCAGTATGGTGCAACTTCGTAGATTGGTTGAAGTTGTACATTAACACCATTGGATGCCTACAGGTTCATCGGTCTAGTGGTTAAGCGCTCGCGTGCTAGAATGCTAAATCCTGGGTTGGAACCTCGATGGAGGGATCGTGGATGCGCACTGCTGAGGAGTCCCGCACTAAAACGAAACAGCTGTCCAGTGCTTCCAGGTTTTTCATAATCGTCTAGATTCAATTGACTCATGAATTCAACAATTAAAATTTAAGTTGACTTAACGTAAACAATTTCTCGAATATGAAAAACTTACTTTCTTTAAGCGAGACTAGAAACGTTTCAATTCATAAAAACGTTACATTAGATAACAATAAACCCAATTGACAAAAATAATTAATAAAATAGATTTATTTAACAATGAAGTCAGAATACTGAACATCTGTAATGGAACAATAAAATGAAACTATGGAACCTTCTTCAATAGAGCATCAGTTATATATCACAATGCTAAAGATTATTCAGCGTTTTGCTACAGAAATCAATGACAAACAATAGTAAACAGCTGGCAATACAAATCATTCTACATATATAGACATTGATGATCTAGACAATCAAATGAATTTCATGTCTATTATTACTTACGACTTTCAACCTCAACGGTACTTATATTTGCTGAGATCGAACAAAAACAGCAAGTTGACTTATTGTCAAAATAAAACTCATAAATAACAAAATAGTTGTGATTTTTCAATCCAATGATCAAGTCAGTCAAGATCATTCACTATTATCACACATATTTTATGCATCAGTTTCAATTTCGTCCCGTTAGCATGAACAATAAACATAGACTGATAATCATAATCAGGAATACAGTGCTTACTTATGATTGTTACTCCTCGTGCAGGAGCATAGGCCACACACCAGTACTCGCTATCCAACCTTGTCTTGGGCAATTCTTTCTAGTCGTTATTCGTCTTTTTCATATCTACTTCTATTTCCCGACGTAATATGTTCTTTGGCTTTTCTCTTTTCCACTTCCCTTCAGAATTCCAAATTAGGGCTTGCCTAGTAATGCAGTTTGATGATTTGCAGTACAACACACATTAGCACAACTATTGATTGAATAATACCTTTTTTAAGTTATATGTATAATGTGCTGAGTCGATAGTTCGAACAACAATTTAGTTTAATTATCATTCAACTATAATGTGAACAAGTTATCATTCATAAACCATATCGTTAACACTGGTAGTTAGAAAATGAATGAGTCGTCACATGGCAAGCCCTCATATGAAATACTCAATGTCAACGGAGAAGAGGAAGATCAAAGAACACATTACCCCGAGAGATGGAGATAGACATGAGAAGAATGAACAACAATTGGATAGAACTAGAAAGGAAGGCCCAGATCAGAGTGGGTTGAAGAATGCGAGTCGGTGGTCTATACTCCATTGGGAGTAACAGGCTTAAATAAGTAAGTAAGTAATAAGTAATTATTATTCAGATGGAATAAATTCGTGATCAAATCTGAAAGATACGGTAGATGATTCAATATGGAAATTCGCTGATATGATATCTTGGTACGGCTTAGTTACAACGTTCAATTATGTTGATGAAATTAGTCTCATATATCTAATTTTCACAATAACTTACGATTTTCATTCGTTTTAGCTAGAAATCGAAATTGAAATGTTGTTAAGTAAAATAATAAACAATAACAGGGTCAATCAATTTGAAGTGGTTCATAATAGAAAATTACCAATAAATTTGTATTCACTTGGTATTATTTTCCTTGAATCTTCCCATAGATGTTGATTCCACTGTTAGCCACTATCCATCTTTGTTTAGAATGCTTTTGAATTAAAACTATATTGAGGTATTCCGCATATGATGCCAACATATGCCAACAACAGACTGATCAATTACAGTCATAAACATCAATCGGAAGATTCAAGTAAATAATTTCAAGTGAATTTAAACTTCACCACATTGTACAAGCAAGTGGCTATCAGGACTCAGTGGCTAAGTGAAATACACGATGGCGTTTGAAGTAAACAATACTGGGTCACAGTCATAGAGTGGATATCAACTCTGAGATGTAGGCAAATGAAGGTGACGAGTCCCAAATAGGACGAAACGTGTGTCATGTATTCCACTGCTAGTCACTATCCATTTTTGCATATAATAAATTTTTAGTCTATTTGCTGTTTTATGTCTAAATTCTGTTAGGTAAAGCAAACGAAACGTTCCTATTTAAATAAAAACTGAAGCAACTCAATTTTTCTGTTGATTTCGGTTATCATTTTTGTGAGAGGGAATAAGTTGATCAACAACAGACTGTGTAAACAGTTTCATGAACAGGATGATAATAACTTCGTACAACGCATTCCCAATAATTTCAGTAGTTGAGATCATGAATCAATTAAAGCTAGACCATCATGGAAAACCTGGAAACACTAGACGGCCATTTTGTCCTATTATGGGACTCCTTCTTGGCAGTACTCATCCACGAACCCGCCCCGCAAGATTCGAACCTAGGACCTATCGGTCTCTAATAGTTATTCATAATTATATGTTAATTTTCATAAGACTTCCAACTAATGAATGGGTCGACTAGGTATCACTATCAATGATACTGGTTGTAAAGTCAAATAGTTTGTTGAAAACACACAGAACTAATGTATACTATATTGTAATAATGCTTTGAAAATGAGAACGGGTACTACTAGAAGCTATATTCGGCTTTTATCAATTCACTACCGTTATTTAATTATTAATCATGATAAATGTTGCTCACTAGACTGAATAATTAAGCATTATGATTCATTATGTTGGTTGATGTTCAGTGGTCTCATTTTCACTAATCAATCTGTTGAATAAAATATACTTACGGTCCCTGTCTGAAGATCCAAACATGGAAGTAACTGAAAGGTGAAAGTAGAATAATGATGTGCAGTTAATAAATAAAGAAACCAAATGATTACACCTCAGAGTGTGCAACTTTTTGGGGGTGGAATGAAACAGTCAAATGGTCAGTATTTGTATCCATTAACATTGATTGCCTTCATCTGTTAAATTACAGCAAGGCTAATCTAATAATCTGTATGAAATCTAGAACGAATGTGATACTTTGAGCAAATATTGAGATTTTTCAGTTCTAATATGTTGGTGGTAATGATGATGGTCTACAGTATTATAACACAAATATGCAGGTTTTCTCGAAATACAACTGGTTTATGCTGTAGCCACTGACTTAGTAATATCATGATCGGACCTCGATATCTGTGTAGAAGAGATGTGTAATTTAATAAGGCTGAAGGCTTAAAGCAACCTCAAATGATGACATACGACGTTTTTCTGAATTCAAAATAGGTTACTGAAGACTTCAATTCAGCTATCAATTCAAGAAGTTGAATCATTCCATCCACTTGATAATAGTCTGCCATGTTTGTATAGAAATGTGCTGTATCTATGGTACATTTTACGTGTAATCAATCCATCTATGAAATATTCTTCAACATTTCATTCTTAAGTAATTCTTCAGATTACACGTTTAAGCTAGAAATTCCCCTTATGATTCAATGATATTCAACAACTTGAAAGCTTTCTTGAACATTTGGGCTATTTGTTCTTGCAATCTAGATACTTCAACAAGTTATCGATTATTGTTTGTTTTATTACATCATTATGTCTATTAATCGGATAACCTATTCATGTCCGTTTCCGAGAAGTATACAACCTTTCGTTGTACAAGTTACAAACGGTGCAGTCAGAGATATCGTGCTGGCATTATGCATTGAAATCAATATACATTATTCAGATGTCGATTGATTGGACTACTAACTTCTAATTGGTGATCACTCAATATTTATCGTCAGGATCGATCAACAAGTAAGAAAAAGAAAATTTGTTAAAATACTTCATGATGATGTGAGGTTATTCTATGAAACTGACATATAGTGTTCAAATTATGTTCAATTATCTTAACGAATTTCAATTCACTTGTATCTTCCCATTGATGTTTAGGATTGCAATTGATCAGTCTCTCTCTTATTGGCACATGTACATCCTGTATGGATTGCATCGATATAGCCTCAAATCACAAACACTAAGCAAAGATGGATAGTAGCTAGAAGTGGAGTCCAGGCCGCGCGTTTCGTCTTATTTATGAATCGTCAGCTGGAGTTCGGAGTAAACCTCAACTCTGCGACACAGGTAGACCCAGCTGACGAGTCTCGAATAGTACGAAATGTGCCTCTTGGATTCCACTACTAGCCACTATCCATCTTTACTTATAAAACTTGTGACTTAAGGCTATATCGAGGTAATTCACAAAGGATGCACATACTCTAATAATGAATCGATCAGTTGCAATCTTAAACATCATCGGAGTGATTCAAACAATCAATACAAAGATGAATTAAAGTTCACCCTCATTGCACAAATAAGTGTCTAAGATATTCATATAGAGTTTTAAGATATTTTGGTAGACTTTTTGATGAACATTCACTTACATTTATGCCACGTACCTGAAACAAAAGAACACTGTTTATTACTAAGCATCTAGATATTTACTTATCTCATTTAGTAAATTCTTTACATGAATTTCAGTTTATACTTCAAGAAACTCATTAGCTAAATATGTTAGTTGGAAGAGTCTTAATGTTTAACTAAACTGTTGGAAGGTATTACGTTTAACACAATATACTTATTACTATTCATTTATAATCAGAGAAGGGTTTTTGTGAATATTATGGTAATTTAATAGTTGAATTCATGAGTCAATTGAAGCTAGACCATTATGGAAAACCTGGAAGCACCGGACTGCCGTTTTATCCTAGTATGGAACTCAAAGATCCCGCTTAGTGAACTTCCAACCCAGGACCAATTGGTCTCGCGCGTGAACGCTAAATCCCTATACCACTGAACTTGGAGGCATTCAACGGTGTTAATGTATAGCTTCAACTAATCCACTAAGTTGCTCCACCGTCCAAAATATACTTATTACTGTTCATTTAGTTTGACTTCTATAAATAGACATGACTGACTTGAATCTCATTAGGATGAAAAACAATATTTGCAAATTTCATTGAGATAAATAATTTCAAGTAGCAGATATGAAAAATCTATACAGGGTTTTAACAATAGAGTTCAATGATCGTTTATTGTTATCAAGTAATAAGCAATACTACTTCAAATATTACACTAGACATATACTGATGCAGATTGGGTAGATTAGTTATCACAATAAATGTGTAAATAGTATTTTTCATTGACTGAACTCAGTTAGGGTGTTATTAAAAGTCAGATAGCATTAGGGATTTGTCACCTGTCAGTATAGAGCTCAACGCTAGTGCACCCTCTTACTCTCTTAAGGGATATAAACTATGATCTTCAGCTCTCACAAAGTCCGTTCATCCATTGAACCACTAGGTTTGAATTTAATGGTACATATTCCTAACTTCAGCGAACTTGGAGGATAAAAGAACGATCTTCGGATGTCACTAATTGAAGCTAGAACATTTTGATAAGTTTATGAGGTCAGAATTAAAACACTATTCACTATTGGCATTGGATTTGCAAATATGTACCGTTAGATCCTAACCTATCGGTCTAATAGTTAAGCGGTCGTCGCAAAAACTAAAAATTCAGAATTAGCAATAAAATTGTATGAACTCAGAGTAGCGAGGGTTTCTGTTTTTGTCTTTTTAAAGACTTATACTGGTAGCAGATATTTTTAGAGGTTAAAACTGCTAGATTTCCTATGTTACCGGTAAACAAGTACTGTACTCACTTAATTCATCTTTGCACTAATTATTTGCATCTACCCAGTGATGTTTAGGAGTGAGAATGATCAGTCTGTTGTTTGAATATGTTCATCCTGTACGGATTACCACGATATTGCCTTAAGTCACAAACATTATTAGCAAAGATGGATAGTGGCTAGCAGTAGAATCTAGGACGCGTGTTTCGTCCTAGTTTGTACCCATCAGCTATTTATAATGTTTCTGACTTAAGGCAATATTGTAGCATTACGTACAATATACACATACTTCAATAACAGACTAATCCATTAAAGTCCTAAGTATTATTGGGAAGATGCAAAAAATCAATACAAAAATGAATTAAACTTCACCCCGTTGCACATGCTAGTGGCTATCTAGACTCGGTAGCTTAGTGGACTACGTGATGGGATTAGAAGCAAACGATACTGGGTTCGAGTCCTGGAGTGAACATCAACTCGAATGTACATACATCAAGCTAGCGAGTCCCAAATGGGGCGAAACACCTATCCTGGATTCTACTGCTACCCACAGTCTGTCACTGCTTCACAAAATAAATAACACACCAGTGGTGCAAAAACGGTGCTCATTTTAATAAAATATATATTTGGCAAAACTGTAGACGAAGGAAAATCGGTGGTTTTACTTGTTGAAGCACTTTCAATATTCTACATAGACTTTCTAAATATCTCAACGAAAACACTTAATTAAACTATTTAAAAAAATGGTTTTGGAAAGTATAAATCACAATTCATGTCAACTGCATAACAAGACATTCATTGACCACAGAAACTAACCATTAATATGAAGATGTTTGTTTTAAAAAAAACTATTATTGTCTTATTATATGTGACAACGGTTCGTCCATTCACCTTGTCTGAACTTCTTCAAGATAATCATTACCCATAAAATGATATACAATGACACTTCTATCTGAAGTTTGTGCTGATGATGTCGTTCAGAAGAACGATGAAAGCTCCACGACCCAATCATCTAGATCAGCGAACAAAACTCCATCACAATGACTAGTCTATACTTGGTGCCCAATTTTTGTCGAACTATTTGTTCTAATCTTGATGAATATTTGTATATTATTAAACCATAAAGATCTTTTAGTGTATATATTCATTTAATCTAATAAATTTATGCTTATTAACTAACAAAGTTAACTCACGCTTAAAAAATGATTCTATCATAATATTGGTCAAAACATTAACCTCAATTAACTTGTTTAAATGAAATTTTAAAAAAAATTATTCATCCGGAATATCATTATGTATAGGACTGTGAAGACTATTAAGTAGTAGATTGATATGATGAATGGGATCAATGTTAGAACTATTGAAAATTTCGAAGTACTTGACGACCATTTCGTTGTAGTATGGAACTCCTAAGCAGTGCGCAATCATGATCCTGTCCCTTTTGATTCAAACTGACGAGATATTGGTCTTGCGCGCAAATGCTTAACCTCTAGACCACAGAGCTCACATCCAACAGTCTTAATATCTTACTTCAATCAGTGAATCATATTGCGCCGCCGTCCACCACTGTCTTCAGTAAATTACTATCTCACAACAGACCCGGTTGAACTCCACTGGTCACTGCCTCCCACTACAACTCCAGAAAATACCTCTTGAAGATAGTTACTAGTGAGCATATGATGATTATTATCAGAAGAGATGTTTGTGGATATTATGATAATTTAATAGTTTAAGTCATGAATCAATAGAAGCACTGGACGACAGTTTCGTCCTATTTTGAGACTCCTCAACGGTGCGCATCCACAATTCCACCCTGAGGGATTCGAATCCAGGACCTGTCGGTCTCATGCGTGAACACTTAAACTCTAAACCACTGAACTTGCCAGAATCGAACGGCGTTAATGTCTAACTTCAACCAATTCACAAAATACAGCCACATGTCAAATTTCAAATAAATTGAACATTGGTTAGACTGTTATAAATAAATTAATCAATATAGTTGTGGATATCTCATTCAGTAGACGAATTAAATTATCTGACATTTAGTCACTCAATGTAAGCCACTTCTTCAAAGAACGAATGGTCTATTAGTTCTTCACTGTAGAGTTTGAATTTTCAAAAAAAAAAGAAACACAGGACACAAGAAAAACTGAATAAATAACATACCTTCTTCATGATGGACTGAAATATAATTAGATTGATGCATTCATAACATGAACTGAATGATACTAATATTAATTAAAAGCTTATTTCCAATTTATCCGTATTCACATAGTTAGATCATTGCAAGAAATTTAAATATCGAAGTAACGCTGTTCACATTAAATCGTATTCTTCATATGAAAAACATTCAATGGAACTATTCAGTATCAACAGTGCTCATCATTAATGGACTAGCTAATAAACTTGTTTAACTCCACCTGGGGCCCCTCTGGGACCACTGCCGGTTTCAAGCCTGGATAAGGGAGGAGGGTTAAACAAGTTGCTGTAGAGATAAAAAGATATAACCTGGAGATGTTTGAAATCAATGAAACACATTGGACAGATATGGACAACAAAGACTAGCTTCAGGGGAGCTGGTGTAAGTAAAAACTCATTTCATGTTTTCATTCTTATTACTTAACATGCAAATAGTTTCATCATGACTCCAATTCATGTAGGATCATGTGGAATCTAAACCTTCTTTGTTTCTATGAATTAGTTGATTCGTAATAGCTTGAGTAGTGTTTTTTAGTCAAGACAGTTCTACTACATAGGGTAGAAACCTGGAGAACTACGAAAGCTATCATTCAGAAGATAGAGATGTTTATTAACAGTTGTCTACGCAAAATACTCCGAATCCGTTGGCCAGACACTATTAGCAACAACCTACTGTGAGAGAGAACAAACAAGATTTCAGCGGAGGAAGAAATAAGGAAGAAGTGCTGGAGGTGGATAGGACACACATTAAGGAAAGCACTCAACTGCATCACAAAGCAAGCTCCTACTTACAATCCTCAAGGTCAAAGGAGAAGAGGAAGACCAAAGGACATATTACACCGAGAAATGGAGACAAACATGAGAAGAATGAACAAAAGTTGGGTAGAACTAGAAAAGAAGGCCCAGGATAGAGTGAGTTAGAGAATGCTGGTTGGTAGCCTATTCTCCGTTGGGGGTAACAGACATACGTAAATAAATAAATAACATTCACTTCCAAAAAATACTTGCGTACAAGAAAAAATTTGTGAAAAAATATAAAAAGACAAAGAATAAAGTTTGGTTTGATATTTTGTGTTAATTTTATCACTTACCTGGTGTAGAATTTTTTACAGCTTGAGATTAGTTAAACAAATATGATGAATAAATTCACTTGGTATTATTTACTTGAATCTTTCCATTGATGTTTAGCATTGCGATTGATCAGTCTCTCTCTCCCTTGTTAGCATATGTGCATCCTGTGCGTATTACCTTGATATAGTCTTAATTCGCATTCATTATAAACGAAGATGGATAGTGGCTAGCGATGGAATCCTGCTTGAGACATGTTTCGTCCTATCTGGGATTAATCAGCCTGATATACCTGCATCTCAGACTTGATGAATTTTTAAATCAGTGACGAAAAAAGCTCTTACACTTTCTCAGTACATAACTGTATTTCATCGCACGGTTAATTCGTAGAAAAAACCTGATACAATCACCATGACAAGTCATATTCCAGAAATAGAAGGATATTTCTGATCTATAAAGTACTTTGTACTAGTTGATCGTATAAATTTCTATATTGGACATGATCTAATCTTTCTCTGTATCTATAATCCACACCAATTACAAATATATAGTTTCAATGGACTATTCAATTGTTGCGTTTTGTAAAATCATCTAAAATCCAATAGACAGCTCAGCTTTATCTTAATTCATAACAAATATCAAATACTTTTCTGATTTTGAAATGATGAAGAAGATCTGTAGCCCAACTGGATGATATCGATAGAGTTTTCTTCTCTGAGCTGGATGGTTTGGTCGTGACGTTTTCATCGTCCTTCTGAACGACATCATCAGCACAGAAACAAAAATCAAACCAATGGGAGATACAACCAGAACAAACAAGTAAACAGTGACAGGTTTAAGGTCAGCATGAACCAATCAACATCGAGGTCCACAGGAAAAACTGTGAACCACATGTGGAGAAATTTGAACACTTCACTTCTACCTGAAGTTTGTGCTGATGATTTCGTTCAGAAGAATGATGAAAGCTCTATGACCAAACCATCCAGCTCAGAGAAAAAAACTCCAGCAAAACTTTCTTAAATGATATTCGTTTCATTTTTAAAGTAATATTGAATTTAAATAGTTGACATCTATTGAAGCTAGATCATTATGGAACACTTGGAAGCACTGGACGGCTGTTTCGTCCTATTGTGGAACTCCTCAGCACTGCGCATCCACGATCCCTCAGACCCCCTTCTGTTGAATTGCGTGACATAAATAAACTATTCATTTGCATTTAAGATCATCTAGCTCATATGTAACTATTTTCCTTTCAAATCTCACAGATTTCTAACTTCCACATAAAGATGATTCATCAAGGCACGAAGTTCAAAAAGGTAACATGACACCGTATGATAATGATCAACTTACTGACAGGATGTGGTTTTGTAGCTGAAATTCAAATACTCACAATTTAAGGAAGAATCATAATGATACAGATTAAATTATGAATACAATAACTGGGCCCATAGCGTATCTATCATGGTATGAAGGAATCAGTACTAGTAATCTAACAGTAGTTATTTTCAGGAAAATAGACCTCATCACTTCCTGTTGAACGTAATCGTTATCACTTCGTTGAATGATAACATACCACATTTTAATTGTATAGATATGTATATAAGTTTTTCAGAACATTGAAAATTTATATTCAACCTGAAAGTATACAATAGATTGTACTAATTTGTAAAGTTGATTACATCATTTAAGTGTTTAGTACAGGATCCTTCTATTGAACTGATGAATAGTTCTTACATAAGTCTATCATGAAAACTAAATGATTCACATGTTATTATGTATTTCTTATTTACTATTTACTTACGCCTGTTACTCTTTGTGAAGGAGCATAGGCCGCCCACCAGTACATCATATATTCCATTCAAATGTAATTTTAATAAGTCAAATAGAAGTTTGTGTTATACAGATTTCAACATTTATTTATTATTCGTGGATTAATTGAAGTTAGACATTAATACCATTGTATGTTGACAAGTACAGTGGTTTGGACGTTAAGAGTTCGCGCGTGAGACTGATAGGTCCTAGGTTTGAATCTAGCGAGGCGGAATCAAGGATGCGCACTGTTGAGGGATTGCATAATAGGATAAAACGTTCGGTTCAGTGCTTCCAGGTTTTCCATAGTTGTCTAGATTCAATTGTAACCGGGCATATAATTGTCAAATGCATCAGTTCAATTCTATTAGTTAACTCGTGCTCAGTTGTATGATTAATACGAATGTCTCATACGTGAATCTTCTCAATATTCCTTTGTTTGATTTTCTATCAATCTATCTATCTACCTATCTGTCTGTTTATTAATGATATTCCATTACTTTATTGATGTATATATAATTGAGATACGACGACTAATAAACACTCTAGAAAGTTTGTGTTCATAACAATACAATACAGATCAGACCAGTTTCATATAGTCCAAGCTGGACTTTACTAAAATACACTTGCTGAATATTCTACTATCAGTGTTATTTCTATTCTAATACACCCAACTAGTGATTCTACGTGTCAGTGTCAAAATGAGTAACAATCCATCTGCAAACAAGTCTAAATCTGATGTTAATCCAATACTACATTCATTCCAGTTCATCCAGTAGTGTCCGTTCAATCAAATTTACATTCATTGTTTGTCAATCACATTGAAGAACATTAGTATTCTAGTTCTTATTGAATACATTTGTCTTCTATCATCGATCATAAACACAACGAATATAACAGTGATATCAAAATACTAGTCAAAAGTAATATGTTTATCAGTTTCTGAGTGACATCGATTTCCTTTGTACTTTGTTATATTGCAAAGGTTGTTGTTGTTATAGTAAGTGGAAAATTCATGTGTAGACTCACTTGGAACTGTATTAGCTGAAATCAATCAATCGGTAACAATTAGTTACTAAATATGAAAGACATTTTACATGCAACTTTATTTTCCCTTATGAACATCATACGAGACAAATTGATACTTTGAATGCAACTAATTTATCAATTTAAATTCACTTAGTGTTGTTTACTTGAATCTTTTCATTGTTAGTTAAGACTGTAACTGATCAGTCTATTATTGACATATGTTCATACTGTGTGTATTACCACGATATTGCCTTAATTCATGAGCATTATAAGCACAGGTGGACAATGGCTAGCAGTGGAATCCAGTTTGACGCATGTTTTGTTCTATTTGATACTTGTCAGCTGGATGTACCTGTATCCCAGAGTTGATGTTCACTGAGGAACTCAAACCCAGTATCGTTCGCTTCAAACACCATCGCGTTATATACTTAGCTATTGAGTCCTTATAGCCAGTTGCTTATGCAATGAAGTGAGGTTTATCGATTTGTTTCACATATTTGTGAATAAGGTTTTCAAATATAAACATACTACTGAAAATCCATCATCCTTCAACACATTGTATGGTTTAGTTATATTTATGATTATACTGATGTTGGATTCATCATTATGATTATAAATTAAGTTAATTATTATAAAACTATCATCAACTTAAAGTACTTACCATTTATTCCAATTAAGCATATGAATATGCAGACAAACCCAGCTATCATTGTATTCATTATATTATCAATGTATAGAATGGACTGCTTATCAATTGTCTTAATGAAATGTTCATAATTTATAGGAATATTCCATAGTTTATTTAAACAGTTTCTTATTTACATTAGATTGATTGAAAAGGAAATGGCGTTTTTCTTTACTTGTTTTTTTTGCTTTTCAATGGCTCAAAAGTAAACAAGATCAAATTTCAATGAAAACATTAATATAGAATAATAAAAGAGTAAGGGGTAGGGGTAAGAGGAGGCGGGGGAGGACAAAAAGTTTACTTTTCGTGATTGAATAATCATATGTATTTATTTGTTTTTCATCTATTTATGGAAGAGGATACAATTTCTTAGTTTGATCATTCATAAATAATTATATTCTAAAGTGGGGGGGGGTTGTGGATATTATTAGTAATGTTTAGTAGTTGAGAGTCATTTGAACATAGATTGCTATGGAAAACCTGGAGGCAGCGTATGTCCGTTTCGTCCTAGTATGGGAATCCTCCTTGACAGTTCACATCCATAATTCCGCCTAATGGATTAGAACCTACGACCTATCGATCTCGCTTGCGAACGCTTCAATTCTAGACCACTGAACTTGTGGGGCATCCAATGGTAATAATGTCTAACTTCAACTAATCCAAGAAATTGAGCGACACATCTACCATTGTCATCAGTGAGTAAGTATCTCACAATTTACCCGGTTGGACTCTACTAGTCATTGCTTCTTACTGGAACTTCAGGAGATATCTCTTGGAGACCGTCGCTAGTGAGCAAATGATGATTCTTATCAGAGTGAGGGTTTGTGAAGATTTTAGTAATTTATTAGTTGAATTCATGAGTCAATTAAAGCTTGACCATTATGGAAAACTTGGAAGCACTGAACTGACGTGCAGTGGCTCCATTTCGTCGATTGGTTGAAGTTAGACATTAACACCATTGGATCCCGCCAAGTTCAATGGTCTAGTGTTTAAGTGCTCGCGCGCGAGATTGATAGGTACGAGGTTCAAATCCCGCGAGGCGGGATCGTTAATGCACACTGCCAAGGAGGATTCGCACAATAGAACGAAGCGGCCTCCCAGTGCTTCCAAGTTTTCCATGATGGTCTAGCTTCAATTGACTCATGAATTCAACCATAAAATAATTATTCAATCCTAACTGAATATTCCTGTTCTTAACAGTATATCAGTCCATTTTATGAATGATACATCTTTTAATTTGTTACTAGAGTATAAACTCGAATCCAATATCTTCAGTTAGGTAAAAAATACTTGATAGATTTTACAATAATATTAAACCATTATCATATTGCGAACAAATGAAATATCGAACAAATAGTCATCTGGTCACTTTGGTACTATTTAAACTTGTGTTAATTTAATATTCAGTTATTTATTTACCCTGAGGAAGTGGTTTACATTAAGCGACGAAACGTCAGAAATACAATTTTTGTTCTACTCATTAGGATATAACGATAAAACAAAATATATTTATTATCATTCACCTGGTATATTTATTTAGTTACTAAGCTTATAAATAGTTATGACGAGTCATTCTTTGAGTTTCTTTATTTGTTTAACACTAAAGAAAATTGTTACGTAATTGAAAAGAAAACAATCTCCTTGTTATATATATGTTCACAATTAAAAAATAGACCAATACTTTTTCCGGTGTTTGTATGAACTAACGATTCCTTTATACTTGTTGAACGTTTGATTTCAAATTCCAAATACAGTACATTCGTTCGTGCCTATCTAGTACTGTGGTGTGTGCTACTTATATCGACGTAAGTAGTAGATAACGTTAGTCGTGAACAGAATGTCTGGCAACAGAGAGACAAGAGGATCAAACAGTAAAGAATGGAAATAGAATGCAATTTGTATGAAAATGCAAGAATAATAAAGTCTGAGTCATTATGTGACAATTGATGGACATTTCGCAAATTAAACATTCACTTTATGATTGTTAGATTTTATTAAGAAGTCCTGTAAATTTGTGTCAATTACGTTCGCTTGTTCCCACTGGTGTTCCTGTTCACTACAGTACTTCTTGATTCAATTGAGTTAATTCTGAGATTCTAAGTTTGTACTATAATTCAAATATACCTAATCATCACATAAACATGATTTAACTATTTAACTATTCTACAAGGATTACAAATAAGTCGATGTTGTTCATAGGGAAAAAAAAACAAGTGGATCGACAGTATTTTCTTACAAATGAGATTTATTCTTGTGTCGACTGAATCTTAGAGATGCTTATTTTTCCCACAAATGTCTCCATTAGAACTTTATTTCAGTAGATATACTAATAAAAGTGGAACTTTTTTGAATGATGTAACAGTAGTGTTGGCTACAAAGATGATGAGGAAAACAACTTTCTATGGAATATCCAGTTTGTATTATAAACCTCTACTTAAAATTTACTCCTTCAAATTGTTTAAAAACACCACTTCGTTAAATAGGAAAACTGCACGATTTAGAAAACTATCTTAAATACAAATGGTATTTCACGAGATATTGGTGTAGTAGGAAATTTAATTCAATTTAAGTGTAGTGACTAGATTATCGTCAGAATTATGAGTAAAGTAAATTCCCTTGGTGTTGTTTTACTTATATCTTCCGATTGTTATTTATGACTGCAATTGATCAGTCTCATGTAGGCATATATGCATTCTGTGCGAATCGCCTCGATATAGCCCTAAGTCACAAGCTTTTTAAGCAAAGATAAATAGTGGCCAGAATTGGAATCGAGGACACAGATTTCGTCCTATCTGGAACTCGTTAATTGGATGTACCTGAATCTCACAGTTGATGTTCACTCCAGGACTCCAACCTATTAACGCGATTGCATTTTAAGCAAACGGTACAGTCTCAAATACTGCGCGATTTCAACAAATGCATCACACCTAGTATGTTCGCTAGTGATGTTTCGCAGCCAGTCAACAGAGGTTACAACAACTCTTCAACAACATCTATCTACAATATGGCTCAGCAACAGACATGTTACTACGAGTGAGAGAGGTCACTGGCCGATGGACCTTTGACAAGAGCCTGCTTAGACAACTTTTCTCACTTAAGATTGCCCATCAGGTTCAAACAGTCCTTGTCTCATGTCATAACAACACTGGAGATGAACTGGGTGCATCTGCCGACTAAATTCTGTTAATCACCAGAACTTCAGACACCGAAGTCAAAGAAAAACATCAAACGACACGAAATGACGTCACAGAACTCTGACACGTTACCATAGTATTCGTCATGACCGTAGACACTCCTCAACTCCCCGTAGCTTTTCAGGGAAGTTGTCTGTCTCTAGATCACGAGAAACAGATAACCCTGATTGCTGTTGGTGTCATAATCAGTACAGAAAGTCTTCTCGAACTTGTAGAGGGCCCTGCAATTTTTCGAGCCCTAAACCGACCGACACGAAAAACGCTTCAAGAAACTTCCCAGCCGGCACACGTTAACAGTAACTGTAGCCGGTGAAACATAACCGTCTGCTATGCATCAGTGACATGAGGATGAAAGTCCCCTACTTCGTAGACACTGGTGCAGAAGTAAGCGCTCTTATAGGTAATTCTAACGACCGACTTCACGAAGCAGTACTCAAATTGCGAGCGACAAATGGGGAACCAATCGCGACTTACGGTGAGCAATATGTGTATCTTGACGTAGATTTGTAGTGGCACTGGGCTCTAATCATACAATCCTCAAAGCTGGACACGAGACAACTGGGAAAATATATATTCAACATTTAAGGCGGAGAATAAGTCAACGATGAGGAAGGTTGGGGGGGTGAATCCAATTAATTCGAATTGATCGGATGGCACGGATCAGACTTGCAGGCGTGATCAATAATGAGTGTAGTTATATACCTTTTATTCACATTAAATATATTTTTCTCTCTATAACCTGTGTTCTTCACCATATCTTCATGATTGTTACGATGAGATGGTTTGGTGTAGATAATAATGTGACTTTCACGTAAGATCTTATAGATTAGACAATTACATCATGTCAAATCTACAATTTTAAGATTAAGTCTATTATTAGAGCGGTACTAATAACGAAGTAAACAATAATTTTATAGGTTTACTGTGGTGTTTGAATTAACTAATGATTCTTTTGTACTTGTTGAATGCTCGATTTCGAATTCCAAATACAATACATTCGTTTGTGCTTGTGTCTTACTTCTTAATTCAACTGTGTTATTTCTGGGACTTTTATTTCGTACTATAATTCAAATAATTCGAAACATTATACTGGCGTCGCGTTGGAGCCTGCGATGGAAAAGTTAGATATTCATTCAACTTATGATGCTTTGGAGGATTACTTTGAAAGGTTAGAAATCTGGGTTATGACCAAGGAAGGTGATGGGGATGTTAATATTGTGGCACATGTCCTCACATTCATTAGAAAAGAAGCATTCAGCTTATTAAGAACTCTGGCTCTGCCGGAAAAGCCTATCTCGCTTCCTTATACAACTCTCAAGGAACTGCTGCTAGACTCTGTTAATTATACAAATTTCGAATGCGGTAAAAGAGGGAGATTTCGTAAAATGATTCATGAGGATATAAAAAATTCCACTACATTACGTCATCCCAACCCAGTTCATACTCAAGATTATGCAGATAATTCATTGAGGAGTTGCAATGCATTTCACGAAGATGGGCACAAGTTTGGTCAGTGTTTGTCCTGTGGCAAGCTCCACTCTTTTAATTCATGTAAATTTCGTAATTCTAAGTGCTTTAAATGTGGTGATATTGGACATACTCAGTCAGTCTGCAATACTAATGTTCATCTTATTGCAATTAATATTATGTCTTGTAATTCTGATTCTACCAAGTCGAGTATTTATAATGATGATTTGTCTTTATCAACGGTTGCAATAGACAGTGTAGAGTCACATAGCAGTTCAGAGTTAAATGAAACTCAGAATTCTTGCGAGACAACAGTTTCTAACCAATCGATTTATCAGATTTCTCATGTTATTGTACCAAATAT